ACAAGAAGTAAAAACAATACCAATAATCAAAATTATCAACATTTTTTTATTTAAAAATTAGATGCTAATGGTAAGTTTTCATTTAAATTTAAATGAAATTAAATAGTCAGTCAAGTAATGAATACTCGTCTACCAAGCAAGTGGAAGCTCTCTTATATATATTGAAAGCCCAAGTTATCAAGAGACATGCTACTGAATTCTGAGAGTGCATTGTTAAATTACTTCAATCCCACTCATTTTAGTTCTCTAACCAAAAAAATCAGTAAAATAAAGGTTCCCACATTTGGAACAAAGGTTCTCTTTTTGATAGTATTTTATTAAGGCTTGTACGATCTTGGAGCAGGTTGCTGGAGAGGTATTGCAGAAAAGGAATTAAGAGTACTAGGCAAATCTGAAAAGAGGATAGTACTTGTATAATTGTTGCCAGTGAATTGCTGTGGGGAATCTATTCTCATTCATTTGACCCCGAGGTAACCTCTAGTTATGCTCCTGCGGCAATCTGATAAAACTGGTGTGCCAGGGGAACTCCTTTTATGGAAGTGATCCCAATGGACAGACTGCATCTGGACTGTGAAGATGATCAAGATCTTATGGGAGGCCCCATCTTTGTAATTTCTCAGGTGTAGGGACTCTTGCTAGCGATGTCCATTATGTGTGTGGAGTTGCTACAAGATATATCGGCTCCTTTGATGGATCAGGCTTTAAACCACTGTAGCTCTCTCCTGCCCTGGACCTCTTCTCTTGCATCCTGAACAGTCACCCAGGGTGAGTTATGCTATTCCTTGACCTGCATTGCTACAAGGGTATCTACAGAAGAGTAGTGACTGACACTTCCAAGATGGCAGGCTGCGATTCTGGTCCTATGTCCTTCTGAGAAAAAGAGTCAAAGTGTCTTATAAGATTGAATGTTAAGCAGTATCAAAGATTATTCCTCAAGAGCCCTATGGAACCAATCTGATACAATATGACATGAAGGGTTAGAAAAAAAGTCACTAAAATCCTAGTATCAAAGAAAGCAAACTATACTTTAAAATCACAGTAAATAAAACATTTGGTATTATTGAGAAAATAAAGAGCAAACATTTCTTTTTCCGTTTTCCTGGTTTCTGCTTATGGTTCTGAGTCATCCCTGCAAGCAAGTTCCCTTTAATTCCTGGGCCTGTGCTTATTTGAAAGGGCAGCTAAGTGGCTATGCTCCTATCTGTCAATACCAGCAGATTTGGAGCCCATCACAGCAATGGCACGCAGGCATCAGCCACGAAAGCTCTCCTGGATGTTAGGTGAGTCTCACATCTGCATCATGTGCTGAGAGTCTCACTTTTGTTCCTTCTTTTCCTACCCTCTCCCTCTTTGCTCCCACGAGTTCTCTGGTTTTTCAGAACTCACACACTGAGACTATCTTTTGAATCGCCAGTCTCAGTTCTCTCTCAAGTGCTTCTTTCCCCTGGAGTTCATCTCGGTTTTATCCCTCTGAGTGTCAACTGTCTCAAAATATCCTGGGCTAGCAATCCTCAAGGGCCCTGGCTGACTCGTAGGTGGCAGATGAGAACTGTGTTTGATGTCTGCGCTTCATTCTCAGTGCCATTTTGGGGAGCACAGCCTCTCACCTCGCGGCATGACCTACATTATCTTCCAAGAACTTTAAAACAGCAGAAGTGTTTGGGAAACGAGGTGGCGGGGATAAGAGGGCCAAGTGAGTGCAAAGAAGAGGGAGAGGTGGACAGAAAGGTGTACATAGTCATATTTGATTTCAGGACAGAATGAAGTTCCTGGAAAACGGGGTCATCTCTCAGGTTGCTCTCCAGAATGGTGATAGGAAATTCTGAATGTCCACTCTCTTCTTTTCCATGAACTTGCCCTGTTTCTCCCCACCCAGAAAAACTCAGTGAGTATTTCCCTCCTATTCCCTCATGCTACAAGCATAAGACACACAATGATAGTGGAAATGTCACTGTAACAAGTGAGGCGTCCTCGCAGGAAAACAGTTCCTAGTCATTATTCATGCCCCTAGATACTGTGAATTCTGAGCCCGGATAATTATTCTAGGAAGCTAAACCAATAAAACCACATATATGATTTAAAGACACCTGTGAAGATTACTTGACATTTGATAAGAGGTTGAACTATGAAAGACAAATACATAAGGCGTGCACTGTGAGTACAGATGGCAGGACGGGCTGGAGAAGAGCTCTGACAGGAGAGGTATGCGCAATACGCTGTAGCTCGATGGTTCTCCAGTCGTTATCTCAAATATAGAACGAAATCAAGATAAGAATAGACATTTATTCACATGGGAGCTAGGGAGGGTGTTTTCTTACCTCCAAATGCATCAATGAATGATCTCGACAGTTTTCTATTCGGAGGATACAAGCATTCTTAGGGCACAAAGTGTGGTTTTCCCCACTTATCTGACTTAGGTTTGACTATTTTAAATACCATCACATGTACAGAACCAGAGAATTATGAAAATTCATAATTAAGTCAGGTTTAGTCTAAGGCTTTAACTGATTTTATAAATCCAGCGGCTAATCCACAATCTTTCTTTCTGCCACACAAAATCAGGCTGTGTGCTTCCAAAAGGGGCAACAGTGCTGAGGTGAAATGTACCCTAACCCTCATGTTTAACCCTTGGTCCAGAGCTGATCCTGGTGAAGCTCTTTGGGGAGGTGGAAGAGCCTTTAGAAGGTGGAGCCGTGCTAGATAAAGGACATTGCTGGGGCAGCTTTGGGGAGTCACAGCTTTGCCTTGGCTCTAGTTAGTGCTCTGCTTTGTGTTTATGACTGAAGAGATGACCTCTCAGCTTCCTGCTCCTGCTGCCACACCAGCTGTTTGCTGCATGCATCCCCACCATGACAGGCTCTCCCCCTCTGGAGCCTTAAGCCAACAAACCCTTCCACAAATTGCTTTCTGTCCTGGTATTTGTTATAGCAACAGAAAAGAAACTAATATAAATGCTAGTCTTGGCATTGTTTTCAACTCCAGCTACTGTTCGATGAGTTAAGTACTTCGTGTTTTGTGCATATTGTTGCTCTTGAATTTCTGTGGTTCCTCTGAATTTTGGTTATTCTCATGTTATAGGTTAAGACACTTACTTCCAATTAAGCATCTTATTGAATATGAAGTCATAATAACAATGACTGTGTTACTATAGTAGACAGGGTAAGAATGAGGTCCTGAACAAGTAGTAAACCATTTCAACTTGAGACCATCTTATAAGGTAAATAACAGTGAAACGCCTAGTAAACTGATGAGAAAACTCAACTCAGAGAGATCAGATTGGATTGACTAGTAAGTGGTAGAGACAGGATTCAAACTCTATATCCCAATCACAGCCTGTTTGCAGAACCATTGTCACATGCTCCATTGTGGAAGAATTGCTCCATCACTCATCAACACTCTTGGTACCACACCAGATTACATCCGATTTGGAAGAAGGAAAATAAAACTGCAAAGTTGAGTGATTGGTCTGTGATCACGTAACAAGCTAATGATAGACAATTATTACCCCGCCTTCTATTCTGATAATCTTCACATTATTTACAACTAGTGGGAATAAAAAAAATCTCTTAGAATATAAGCAAATGTGAGAAAGTCTCAGGGAAATCGAGTTGAAGAACTTTGAAAAGACGAAAATCCCCTTTACCTCTTTTCTCTACCATTTATCTCAATAGGACTCTGCCCTGTAGATGCTGGTCAATGTCTGTCCTCAGAAAACAGCAACCGACATGTGGAGCTGGCAGAGCGCTGATGTGAACAAGGAGCTCTGAAAGATAGACCCACTAATCCTGTGTCCCCGGTCTTCCAGAATCTGGCCAAATTTAAAGTGTGCCTGCGTTGCATATGTCCCTGTGAAAAGTGGCAAGCTGGTAGGTGGGCAATCCATTTTTTAAAATTAAAAATAGGTCCTGTAAGAAAAACTGACCTTAGGAGATATAATAACAGGTTGCGTGTTGTCTATCTCAGAGTATAGTCATTAAATCAAAATATTTTTTACTTTTATTTTTCTGTGTTGAGGCAAGGGACTCATGAATGCCATCAGAGGACGATTTGCAGGAACCGGTTCTGTCCTTCCCACCATATGAGTCCTGGGAACTGAACTCGGGTTGTCAGATCTAGTAGAAGGAACCTTTACTCCCTGACCCATCTAATCAAGTAGCGTGGTCATTTTCTAGCTGGAATGAACATCTGTAGCCAGTTAACTTTAAGTAAAGGTCATTGGCTATGCCTCGCTCACGGCCCCTGAGGCTTCCCAGAGAAGAGCCTCTGCTGCTACAGCCTGGAGGCTCACCCAGAGTCCCATGGACTGTGAACGATTTCTTCAAGCTAATCTCTAACTCCTCACCCATCTATCTGAGCTTCTCGCTTTATTGTTCTGGAGGACTCTGACCATACAGGTTTTGACAAGACTGAAACGTGCTTTCAAAATCCTGAGCATACTGGACATGCTGCGGGGAAAGCTCAGCTCAATAGACATGAGATTACATGTCTCCTTGCAGGCAAGGTATCAGAGCAAATGGCCCTCACTACTGTTGGGTCACAGCAGGCAGCTGCAACAATCTCAATTCAATCAAAACTGTGCTAACTGTAAACCACAGGCTCAAACAGCCGAGAGTCCCTGTAACTATATAATGACAGCTCAGAGTACTGAACAGGGACCCAGATTTCTAAGAATTAACAACGTCCAAGACAGCAACCTAGAAGTACCAAGAGATCCCCAACCCAGGCAGCGCTGGCAGCTCCAGGCTTCTCTGGTATTCTAGAGAACTCTGACAGATAAACACACCTCCCCTCTCTTATTTTTTATCAGCTCTGGGATCTGATGTCAGCGCTTCCTGGGCTGACGGAGGCATATTTAAATCTGCCTATTTTAAATTTACCCTTGGAAAAACAAGTGCATCATCTCAAATTTCTCCTTTGTCACCCTCTCCAAGAAATGCTTACCCTAGATGATTACATGGGAAGCCAGCAGGAGAAGGTATGGGACAGGCCCTTGATCTCACCTTGGCTTCTGAGGTGGGTTCCAAGAAGCACAGGCGATTCCCAAGGCCCTCGGCTGCCAGGCAGAACTTCCGCTGCTCCTTGTGGATGTTTGCTATGCACTGGAGTACCACTTCATCCTCCTGCCAGGAGAAGAGACACAGAGTGTAAGGGGTGGGGCAGCCTCCTACCCACCCAGAATATATCATCCCATTCCTGTGTAACATTTACACATAATTAGTTAAAGTGCATGTTTAAGTTTGGATCTATTACCCAAGATATGATACTATGTTAAAAAAAAAAAAACAATTGAAATCCAAAACACCTCTGGTCCAAGCATGTTGATTAGATAAAAGATACTTAACCTGATCATGGATGGATGAGTTCTGTATGTATATACACCATGTACTTCACTTCTCACATGTACGATCTATATGAAGATATAACTTCAAGATCTGAGTGAATTTACAAATAAGTCAAAGACATCTTTTCAAAAGTGAAGGGCACAGTAGGATGTTGTTGAAGGGAACAGAAAATACAGAAGCAGCCAGAGTGGTCAAGATGAGTGGAGAGAAAGATCATGTTGGGTTGTTGAAGAGGTAGCATGTATGGTTAATAGGGAGTGAATAAATGAAGTTCACATGCTGAAGAAGAGAGATTAAAGATGGCAAAGGCCACAGAAAGTGAATTTTACATAGAAAATTAATTTTATAGGAAAAAAAGGTTGACAGAAGTCTGGAGATCCAAACAGGAAAGAGGAGTTGAAATCCAAGCAGAAAATCGTGTCTGGATTCTCAAGCAGGACTTCCCCATATATAGCATTCACCAAAGCAACCCTCCTGAAATTCCAGATTAATATGGCACTCTTCTTGCCAATGGCTGTGCAAAGGATGCATACCTCAGTTGACAATAATATAACATTTCATGCAGAACTCTTCCTCTGGTTGAAACATTTTCCTTTCCCATCTTTCATCTCTGCACGTCCATCTGGCAGTTATGGTCTCTCTCCCATATATTTCTCTTGACTTTGGATTTCCAACGTTGGAAAGATTTTTAGGTGTAGCCAAACTAGAAGCCAGTAGAAAGTACTGGTGTGGGAGGTCCTTCTGTCTATGTGCTGCTTTTATTGGCTAATGAATAAAGCACCTGGCTTGACCTGATAGGGTAGAACAGAGCTAGGCAGGAAAGACTAAGCTGGGGAAAAGGAGGAGGAGTCAGAGAGAAGCCATGGAACCTCCGCTGAAGACAGACATGCTGAGACACCGACCTTGTGGTGATGCACAGATTAATGGAGGTGGGTTAAATTTAGATTTAAGAGTTAGCCAATAAGCAGCTAGAGCTAATGGGCCAAGGAGTGATTTAATTAATACAGTCTCTGTGTTGTTATTTCAACAGAGTAGAGCATCCATTTTGCCATTAGCTCCTTTATCTTCATCTTTCCCTCAAGTCTCCTAGGTGCTCAGTTTCTCTTAGAGAGTTGGAAAGACACATTAGATCAAGGTGAACTTTTTTACTCTGAGTCCATACTATGCAAGTTAATTGAAAAAAGAAGTCTTCCCCTGAGGAATGTGAACACGGTCACTAGCAGCAGATGTCTATAGATGGTAACCTGAGATAGGTGAGAGGCTACAGGGCAGTGTGAATAGGCACAAGCTGGAGGGGAATGTGGAGGAGACTCAGAAAGAAGAGAGTTATATTGCATCACTGAAATGTTACTGTCTATTATCAAATTGAGTCTGTCATCAATTTATGACACCGAACAGTGAAGTCAGACTTTATGATCTTCATTTTTACTGAGTGGAAAGAAAAACACTTCAGAATATCACTGCTATTTAAATATGGGCTCAGTGAAATCTCTAGAGAGAATGAAAATTTCCCCCAGGTGGCTTTTCCCTCTAGACTGTATATAAGCCAGAAGTGGTGTGATCTTTCTGAAGGACACTGGCAGCAAGGGAATAGACTCAGTTGTCAAAATGACTAAGAGGTTACTTGCATTGGGAAGAAGGGGTCATAGAAGTTAAATGCTCTGTAATATAGGAGATGGTCTTCCAAGTGCCTAATGCTTTCATGAAAAATGCTAATTACAGCCTGCACTGAAAACACAGTTAACCATCTCCTATCTACACACATTTCACTGGTATAAAACAATCCCCAAACAGGTATTTGAAAAAAGTAGGAAAGTGGTTATAGAGCAGATTTTCCATAAGCAGTAAAATTAGGCAAATCTACTCTTTCAGTCTTGGTCTTCAGGGGCTTCTTTACAATACCCCATTTCCCATTCCTTTCCACTCTAATGTATATAAACCCCTGTAATTTGACCTTGTTCTGGCTGCCTTAGGGTCTCTTGGTCCTCAGAAATTTTTCCTCCTACATACATGCCCACACACTCTTATAACACAGGATGCCAAGAAAGTAATGGATTAAAAAATCCAACCTGAATAACCATTTGGTTAAACACCCAGTTGCTGAAAAAGCAGTCTTACACCAAACCATGCCCAGGCGGGCAGTGTGGGTGACTTGCAGATGCGTGTGGGACTTCCAGCTCCTGTCATACTTCACTCCTTTCCGTTCTGTCTAGAGCCATATGCTCAGTGCTGACCTGGCTGTAGACAGCAGCTGGCGCGGCTGCCTGCACCTGCTTTTGAAGCTCCACGCAGCAGCCATTATCTGCAAAGACTTTGCACAGGCAGACATCTGGAGGCATCAAGTGCTCAGTGCTCAAACTTTTGCACCAAATTCCATTTTGAGCAATGGTATGGGCCACTTCTCTTACTAATAAAATACAGATCAGAAATCTCTCTGGTCTCCAGCCTTTCCTAATTTATCCAGTGCCTGCACTAGTCTGTACTTTTCCCTCCACTAACTTGTCTCTCTTTCGTTGTCGAGTTGTTCTTCCTCGCATCCAAATACCATCCAGGGATATCATTTATAAAGAAATCCCCCTACTTGGAGACTGCACACTTTTGCACATCTTGCTTCTAGCACCCCAGAAGGTTGTATTCTTCTCACACCCCTGATGCCAACTTCAGACCATTGCTCTCCTACTCATGTGCAAAAGCCTTTCCACTTGGGGGAACATGACTGCCACCCTCTAAAGCATCTTTGGCAACCTGCCGGCATCCTCGTCACTTCTCCCATCGTTTATCTGGCTTTTAAGGACAATCAAAAAGCCCAACAAAGATATTTGCATGAGTTCAGCATGCAGTTATTGACTCCCTTCCAATGACAAAGCATTCTGCTAGGGTACTCTGAAGATACAAAGTTTTACGAGGCAAGATCCATTAATGCTGCAATAATGGAACTGAGGGTGGAAGGTCAGCATGCGGGATTTTCCTACTTCACTTTAGCTGTCATCCCAAGTCACTTTAAAGTTTACATGCATAATGAATCTGAAGTGACACGGGGACTTAATTATTTCTACTGCGCTTTAGACAGACACTATCATAAACTTTTCTGGCCACAGTTGAGAACGATCCACTTCTCAAATCCAAAGCTAGAGAATTCCACTCTGAGAACCCAATCTTCTCTCCCTTTGTTGGTTTGTTTTGTGTATACTTTCTCGTTCTCTTCCTTCCAAGTCATGCTTAACTTGATCAAGACTGCAAATTTCTAGAAAACACCCCCAGCCAGTTATTTCATCTACCTGAGGAAAGAGAATTTTTTATAGAAAAATAACTCAGATTATGTGTCAGTATAAATTTATAGGATTTCCTAGTAATGTATTTTCAACTTTGATTTCACTGGAACAAAACTATAAATTTTCCCTCTTTGAATGAGGGGTAGTAATCAAAACAGATACCATTCAGGCAAGAACAAATAACCACACCTATTATTTCCAAGAAAGAAAAACAAAGGAAAGATGAGCAAGTGCTTTTGGGGTCATCAGCAATGGTGGAGTCAGACAATAAGAACTTTATCACCCACACTCTGTCCTTCGGTGTGAGAGCTGTGACTCACATGTCCCCAGGACACAGAATCTTTAGGACCATGACAATGGTCCCTGTCTTCTCTCAAACAAGTCCAACTCTGGTTCTTTTAGTTCCCCACATGTGAGCTTCCCCTGTCCCTCATTCCAACTGCCTCATCTTCCAGACAAATCAAGCCCAGAGGGTCTTTAAGATATTATGAACTCACCAAAGCCAGCTGGACTGTGACTGAAACAGCATGGGATAAAACCGGACTCTCTGATCACGGCGAACAATGAGGACTGATGAGAAGCCAAGGTCAATGACAAGGGGTTTTGATCCTACTTCATGTTCTGGCTTGGTGGGAGCCTAGCCAGTTTGGACGTTCACCTTCCTAGACATGGACGTAGGGGGGAGGACCTTGGACTTTCCACAGGGCAGGGAACCATGACTGCTCTTTGGATAGGAGAGGGGGGGTGAGAGGAGTGGGGGGAGGGGGAGGAGAGAGGGGGGAGGGGAGAAGATTGGGGGGAGGGGGAGGGAAATGGGAGGCTGGGAGGAGGCGGAAACTTTTTTTTCTTATTCTCAATAAAAAAAAAGAAAAAGAAAAAAAAAGAAAAAAAATAAAAAAATTAAAAAAAAAGATATTATTGTCAAATGCTAGCCATTCTCATATTTTACTCTATTCTGGATATTCTGCCCTTCTTCCATGAGTTTCTCATCTCTACATCCTCCGGCCTCTTCTCTAAAGACGAGGATTGCACACAGAGTGGAGCCCATTATCATCTTCCTTTGAATTTCTCAACCACCCCAAGCTTTCAGATTTACTCCACAGAATGTGCTATGTAACTTATATCTTCACCGTGTGGAACATCTTTGTCACCACTGCTCATAGTCCAGGGACTATTGTAGAAGAGGGGTCATAAAAATTGTAAGAGCTAGTGCTTTGGGAGGGCCAGAGAAAGACAGTCTCTTCATGACCTGATACGATTTCAGTACACATGAACTCACAGAAGCTGCCCGAACAAGAACCATACAAATTCAACTCACTCAACATTCCAGTATGGAATAGAAAGGGGTTCATGAGCCTTTATCCCTAACTGAGGAGTTATGGACAGTTGGTAGGTGACTTCTGGGGTACGGGAGTCAGTTTTCTATAAGGGTGTGGCCCATAGTCAGTTAATCATAGTCCAGTAGATGACCCTACACTCAGGAATATAAGGTAGAAACACAAATTC